TGTATCTAATAGCTATCTTACTATATATAGTAGACTTGTGAACTCACAAAGAGTATCACAAGGTAGATGACAAACATATCCGGGATGCACCATTGTATTTTCGTTCCACCGAGGCTCTTGAATGAGAACAACGTCGACACTCAGCTCGAATGCTCGGGCAAGTGCAATTTTCTGTGTTGGACCTCCTCTACCTACGTTTATTGATATGAAACTTAGAGTAGAAGGGTGGCGGAAAGCGGCCCATGTGGCGCCCTGTCAGATTGGAGTCTAGATGTTTGAGCTGGAGCGAATTCGAAGGACTAGAAGAGGTTCAATGGACGGCGAAAGGTGACTGAAGGTATACTAGAGATAATTTGGAGGAAATTGAGGTTTGAAAGATGGTTAATATAAGTATTTAAAAGGTCTAAAGGTTCGAGAGGGTACTAATGATAACTAAAGGTACTAGAGGTAACTAGAGGTGACTATAGGTGACCAGAGGTGATCCGAAGGTGGTGGTTGTGACAGAAGACTAAGCGTGAAGAACTCTATAGCTACAGGCCAAGCCATCATACATATACTTGCTTTCCTCCCACTAGCTCATCATAACATAGGCCCTAAACTAGTACCAACATAATAACCAGTGCCAAGAACTATTCTGTTGTCATGGCAACATCAGGAGAAGGGTAAAATTATAAACTAAAGTTAGGATGGGAAGGAGAATCCTTACAGATTGAGAGTATTCCAGATCATTTCCCGTCTATTTACCCATTGAACTGTCTCGTAGTGTGACTTTATTAAATCACAACGCTCGTCAAATGACATGTCCTCAATGTGCAGTGTTAAGTCCAGGTATTTTTCACTAGCATCTCCGGCAAATATTATGGCTAACGCATCTTTAAAGTATCTTTTCTCGACACAAGCATTGTTACAATTATTGAAAATTATTTTTCGCTTGTAGTCGAAACTGTCAGTCCCATCTCTATATTTATCCTCATCTTTGTAAATTCTGACGAGAGACTCCAATTGCCTACTTTTATGAAGCGGACAATCCTCCCATAGAAGAGAATTGTCTTTTTGTGGGTATGGTTGCTGTTTTGGTGCATATGACAAAGAGCGATTGTCTCTTTCATTACTACTGCCTCCATATTTATTTCCCTTGTCTCCACGACTTGTAGGATTGCTGTAGGTTTCTTCTTCTTTCTCCTTAACTGGAACATCTCTATTTTTTTCTTTCATTTCCCTGTAGATGTTTCCTTTCGTCCTTTCATAATCCAACGCTACTTAGATTGTACGTTCGTATTCCTTGTAGCTTGGGTCTTTTGGGTCGCACCGTGAGCTTACCCCTAATGGGTTTTTCTTTTGATAGAATGCAATTTGTTCGGGAGTCCATTCATGGAAATCATCTATCTTAACTTCTGCTGCAAGTTGTTGATCAATATGTTTTCCCTTCAGATTTGGTGTCATATAAATTCCTCGAGAAATGAGATAATCTCGGAATTCTCTCCTGAGTTCCGAGTCAAATTTACTAAAGAGATCAACATCCCAGTCCTCGAAGTCTTCTGCCCATCTTTCCCATAGAGGATCATCTTGTACACCTATCGCTCTATAGAGATCCAGTCTATTCTGAACATAAGTTGTTATTGCTTCGTCAGAGTCGAATTTAAGTGGAGTAGAAGAGGATGGCTTAAGAGACATTATTTGTTTGATTTTTATTTTTATTTTTACGTGATAGACGCGAAGCAAGACTAGGGAATTTCTCCTGGTTAATGCTTGAATAAAAGAGTGCGTTAATGGACGCGGAAGTAAGAAGAGCGAAAACTTAATACTTCTTAAATTTGACACGTCGGAGCTCAGTTCAGACAGGATCGACGACTCCAAGGGACGTTCCTTCGTATGAATACCGCGTATGGATCTGTGACCGATAATTTAGATCACTGATCAGTGTCGGTTTATCACCGGTTCTAGTTAATGTGCTAGCACAAAGATTGGGCAAAATGGTTATTGATCAAAACGTATATATATCTATCTCTGTATCTAACAGGAATAATGAACGGAAGTAAACCCCAACGCCGCACTGACACTAAGGGACTAATATCCGTAAATTTCCCCATAGCTTCTCTACCAACGCCAATATTCACACAGTAACGGGGTATCTAATCGATTCTCTCACGAATATTCAGGAATTTCGACACCGGTCATGTGTCAAAGTTAGATATCTGCATACAGATTTAATGATTCAAAAGAAAATCCCCTTGATTTGTATTCATTATACGGATTTGGCGCTCTATGGGCCCATGCAGGTGACTATAAACCTATCTATAAATTTACATAGGAGGAAACCTCTCGGTGACAATCCCCAAGCTTTCTGATTTAATTTTTGGAGTTTGCTATTTATCCTTCAGGAAGCACAGTTACACTATAACGCTGTCGATGGGTACCAATCACGTCCCTTCTATCGACCCCAACCTTGTACATGTTCCGTCTCGTTCCCTGGGCTGCATATCGACTGCATTTCTCATGCGGAATTATTCTATCCAACCATAATTAAGAATCCATCGTGTGATTCTTTTCATATCGCTAGGATCGTTGATCATTGCTTCAAAGGAGCGATTTCGGGCTTGTCTCCAGATTTCTCCTCTACCAAATGACCACTTAGGGCAGGACATGATTATGTGCTTGGGATTTTGTGATTGGTAGCCACACGGACAACTTGGGTGATAAACTCCTGGTACTTTTCTTCTGTGTAAATTAGGATTGAGCCCGATATGCTCGCTTCGAATTTGGATTGCTAAGCTACTTTGGGCCCTCGTCAGGTTTTTGTGGAGAGAAAATGGTGACTCCCGGAAGCTTATTTTAGTACGTCTAGAATGGCGGCATTGATAGAACTTTGCTGCTACCCATGTTTTAGGATCTGCTGAAGCAAATCTTTTAGGCTGTCGAGTTCACTTTATGGCGGACCAAGATGTCGCCCATTCTAGGTACGCTGCAACCCTTACTGCTTCATTTTGTAAGTCGTTGGATTTCTCCTCTCCGCAAATCTCTTTCCAGTATGCAAGGTCTGCTCTTCTATTGTGTGCTCTAATATCTTCCCTTCCTCTTCTGGGAAGCTTTATTTTACTACATGCTGATTGGAAGAAAATACCCATGACCCATGACCCATGCAGTAAATTTAAAATCAAATAAAACTGTATTAACCATCTAGCTGCTCTTTTTTTAAATCATTCAATTTATATTCAGCTATCTAGCTATGGCACATGACCGGTGCTATGTATACATGTTGTGTGACTCTTTTGACGTTAGAGACACTCATACTCTGGATTTCATTCGCAAATACCACTATGAGGTATGTTCGTTTACACAAACAGTCGTCCCCTCTCCATAAGTACTCAACAAAGGAAATTTCAAACCTTGGGTTGTCCATGCATGCCAGCGCCGCGAGAAAGTGGTGGTGATGTGCCGGACTTGAACCAGCGATTTACTGGTTCGGATGGGATGTGCGTCCAAGTTATCCAGACTCTTCTCGGCAGACCGACTGAGACAATGTACCACCGCACCATCCAACCATGGCAGTGTTAAAATTATTGTCTGAAACACACTTCCTCCTTATTTGGTTAGGTTCGGAAAACAACAAATTTAATACTTGTATGTGTTGGGATTTGAAATTGATATCATTATCTTGATATGGCGCCCTATGGGCCCATGTAGTTGTCTACAATCTGCAATATTTACACGGTAGGAAACCTCTATGGCGAAAATCCCCAACACCACTCTGCTTGTTGTCTTTTGTTTTCACATATTCTCTTCAGGAAGCGCAATGACACTACATTGCCATCCGTGTAAAACGACCACATCATCTCTAACCACTTCAAGCATTACCTCACATGTTCCTTTCCCTCAGCAGCATTTCGATTGTCTTTATCATCCGGAGATTGCTTTATACTACCATGATCTAGTATCCACTACGTTATCCTTTCGATGTCTCCAGTATCGTTTATCATTGCTTCGTAGGACCGATCTTTGGCTTGTCTCCAGGTCTCAGCACTACCATTTGACCATGGGGAGCAAGATATTATCATATGCTTGGGGTTCTGTGATTGGTAGCCACATGGATAACCTGGATTTAATACTTAGGGTATTCTACTTCTGTGTAAATACGAGTTTAGCCCCATGTGCTCACCTCGTATTTGTATCGTCAAACTGCTTTGGGTCCTTGTCGGTTTACGATGTAGAAAGAATGGTGAGTCTTGAAGACTCAGTTTTTGATGTCCAGATTCTCGACTTAGGTAAAATGTGGCCGCTCTCAACATGTGTTGACATAACATTACCTATTAGACCCATGCGAAAATTCATCACAAAGATTTCGTGGATATATTAGCAGTGACTAGCAGCACACACAAAATGTCCATCGGTACGCGATACAAAAGCTAACTAACTTATCCCGACATTGGATCGTGATAGGAGTGGACCTAGTCACCCCCAAGGCCAGGTGCCGCGCTTATGGGAAATAAGTATGGAATTTTACAACGTTTCCCTCAGAACTTTTACAAGCAGCTGAGTACTCGTTAAGTCTTTTAAAACTCTAGACTGTTTATACCAAATAGTCAAACTAGAACCTGACCACTCATGCCGACAATTAATATACTTCAAACTTAGCACGGATGGATACAAAGATCTCTGAACCTCGAACTCATTGATAAGATCAAGACTAAATTCATGTTACAAAGTGATATGCGGGCAGTCACGGAGGGACAAGGAAATTTGGATGGCTCGGTGTAGAATGTGAATCTGGAAAGAGTCTACAACGAAATGAGATTTCATAAGATTCAAACTTATCGGATTTGTCATGCTAGTAGTCACGTGATAGACGGTGCTCGGTCCAACTACACCTATGAGCTGCATGAGCACCGCGGCTGTTACGTTGAATCACAGAAAACATCAGGCTGAACAGAATACCATCATTCGCACTGAAGGCGGTAATTGAAATTGAAAGACTTAAAACTCGCGAAATCTACGACAATATAATGGCTGATGTGGAGCGTCAATATGCGCTTTCATTATTCAAGACTAAATTGTTAGAGTCAAGAGAATGGGAGGCCAAGCTTAAGAATCTACGATTAGAGATCAAAGGATTGCAGAAGGAATTCGACAATACAGAAGAAGATGTCAAGGCTTTACAGAGCGTAGGACAGATTATTGGAGAGGTTCTCAAGCAACTTGATGAAGAGAGATGTAGGCTTTGGTTTCAACATTGTCATCCAAGCTAATTATGCTCACCTTAGTTATTGTTAAGGCTTCATCGGGCCCTCGATACGTAGTCGGTTGTAGGTCTAAAGTCGAAAAAGAATCTTTGAAACAAGGAACCCGCGTATCGCTCGACATGACCACTTTAACAATTATGCGAATGTTGCCGCGAGAAGTTGACCCACTCGTCTACAATATGTCCTTGGAGGATCCGGGACAAGTTAGCTTCGGTGGCATTGGTGGACTGAACGAACAAATTAGAGAGCTAAGAGAAGTAATAGGTTTGCCATTAAAAAATCCAGAATTATTTATGCGAGTCGGAATCAAACCTCCCAAGGGTGTACTCCTGTATGGACCTCCAGGAACAGGTAAAACTTTGCTAGCAAGAGCTGTAGCCAGTAGTCTGGAAACAAATTTTCTCAAAGGTATGTAGGTCTCGGTCTTGTATATTACTATTCACTAAATCACGAAGTTGTATCATCTGCTATCGTTGACAAGTATATCGGTGAATCGGCACGATTAATCAGAGAAATGTTTGGATATGCCAAGGAGCACGAACCATGCATAATATTCATGGACGAAATTGATGCCATCGGTGGGCGAAGATTCTCAGAGGGAACCTCTGCAGACCGAGAAATTCAACGGACGCTAATGGAACTTTTAAATCAACTCGACGGTTTTGACTATCTTGGGAAGACTAAGATTATCATGGCCACAAATCGACCAGATACCCTGGATCCCGCTCTCCTTCGTGCTGGACGCTTGGATAGGAAAATCGAGATACCTTTACCAAATGAAGTTGGTCGCCTAGAGATTCTCAAGATTCACGCCTCTACTGTGGTTACAGAAGGTGAAATAGATTTTGAAAGTGTCGTCAAAATGAGTGATGGCTTGAATGGGGCTGATTTACGAAACGTTGTTACCGAAGCGTAAGTTACTCCGCTCAGATCTTACGCAATAATTAACCCAACTATATAGCGGTCTCTTTGCTATAAAAGATTACAGGGACGCTGTCAAACAAGATGATTTTAATAAAGCTGTCCGTAAAGTTGCGGAATCGAAAAAGCTTGAAGGCAAGCTGGAGTACCAAAAGCTCTAGAAACTTTTTATTCACTTGTTTTTGATAATAGCGCTCATTTCAGCAGCACCACATTTAAATTTATTGTATAATGACGTTGGGTCTCCTAACTGTTTCGCATAGTCAGCGATGCAAAATCACTTGCAACCAATCTAGAGCAAATCTGAGGTGCGATAACAGTGAACAGTTTCATCGTTGGCATGAGCCTTGAATTAGTTAAGCAGTTAGAGGAGTGCATGTCTACTCCTGTACTCTGCATAAATTCTAAATACCTCACTTAACCGGTATCCCTTGCGCCTTTATCTAACTACCCGATAAACGTCGTCGCATCCTAACTACACATCTTTTTTGTATTCCTGGCAATGCCTCGGCCCCTAACTACAGATCTTCCGCCGTGGAAACCAATTATAACATCTTAAGATATACACCCATGCAAGCACCCGTTAGAAAGGAGTTGTAAAGGTGGCAAAGAAGATAGTACAGTACCCGATCCAGAAACACTCTCGACCTGTAGGCAGAAAGGATAGATATGTCCTTATGTAGTCACAGACCCATTAGGACAATAACTTCAAATATCAATCCAAGTAGCTAGCTACAGCAAGCGAAACAATGGCAGTAGGTCAAGGTTGATCACGGAACAAATACAGTTTATAAGCCTAGTTTTACTCTGAAAACTTCCTAAATATTTGGTCAATCACATTAGAGTTATACCGAGTGCTGAATAACCGATACTGTGACACTTGATACATTTCACACAAAACTTAGCCTATTTTCCTAATATACTGTTACGTTCCTGCCCGTTATACCATCGCTGTAGGCAACTTTTGTCGGAACTTTAACTTTGTGGGTGTCTCTATTGGGATAGTTTACTAGTATTTGTTTCTGAAATAGCTGCCACTGGGTTTTTTTGTATGACTAGTCGGCATGTGACGTGCATGCATATTATAAAAAGTTATGTAGAGAGAAATGGATATGTACATACATCGATGATCATGTCCACTACTCCAGTCGAAATAATCGCCCCTGTTTTTACCGATGATCTTGTTCCGGGCGCCAGAATCAAATTTGAAACTTTCTATGATTTTAAGAAACTAAGAATTGGGCGCTAATAGTTTCAAGTACTCTATCCCCATCATCGAAATAAACAGTTGTGTGCATGAATATAGTCGTTTAAGAAGAGTAGTCCTAGTACGAAATGTGATACATGCGAGTCCCCCATGAAAGTTTGTAGAATAATCTCGTTTCAGTAATTAAAACCAGCTATTTATTCACTCGCTAATTGCAATCAAAAACAAAAGGTAAAGTTCCCCGAGAAGCCTATTCCACGGTCACAGATTTGGCCAAATTGCGCGGAAAGTCAACGTTTAGTCCTTCGGCAATAGCAAGCCAGTAAGCCATTAGCTGCAAGGGTATAACATTTAAGAGACCTTGTAAACAGTCAACAGTCTTAGGGATCTCTATTTTTTCAGCTTGGCCGTCCTTAAATTCGTCGTCATTGGGGTTGCAAATAACAATGGGCTTACCACCTCGGGCAATAACTATTAAATTTCAGCAAATAAGCACACGAATAGATAGCACTGAACTTACCTTGTTGATAGGCATTGAGGGATTTTGCAAATATGTTGTCGCGGGTGAGTATCATGATGATAGGAAGATTCTCGTCAACCAAGGCGAGAACCCCGTGCTTGAGCTCTCCTGACATGACAGCTTCACAGTGCAAATATGAGATTTCTTTTATCTTTAGAGCTCCTTCTAGAGCTGTCGAAAACTGACTGCCACGACCTAAGAGCAATAGACTCTTCTGGTTATGAAATACCCGAGCACATAACTGTTTTATAGGATGATCAAGTTCCAAAATTTGTTTGATTTGATGTGATATTTGGCCAAGACCTTCCATAATATTCTCTCGTCGCTTTTGTTTTGATGATCGATCTTCGCTCAATGACAGTGCAAACATAATCATTGCGATAAACTGGGATGTATAAGCTTTGGTTGATGCGACTCCAATCTCAGGTCCAGCATTAACATGAACACCACAGTGTGTCAAGAGAGAAATGGAGGAGCCAACAACATTAACAATCCCAACGGTCAGTGCACCGCGTTCCAAGCAGTAGCGGAGAGCCATTAAGGAATCAGCTGTCTCTCCAGATTGAGAAACAAAGACACATGTGTCGTCTCGGAAGACGGGCGCCTGTCTATCTAGAAAATCTGATGCCAATTCAACCGAGATAGGGATTTCGGTAAGCTCCTCGAACGTGCCGCGAACAGCCATGCAAGAATGATAACTGGTTCCACAGGCGATGAAGATTATACGACGACATCTTCGAATTGTCGCAATGTATGACCGGAGGCCACCGAGAGTCACTTGCTTATTTTCTACATCTAGACGACCTCTCATAGTATTGATCACTGATTCCGGTTGCTCAAAAATCTCTTTCTGCATGAAATGATCAAATTTTCCCTTCATAATCTCTTGAAGTTCGAGCTCGAGCGTCTGGATCGTCCTCACATTTGAAGAGCCGTCTGCTTTAGTAAGTCGGTGAATATTTAATGAGCCCTCATGAATATGTGCTATATCATCATCTTCTAAATATAGTACTTTCTTGGTATGTTCTACAATTGCAGAGGGATCAGACGATAGAAAAAATTCAGTAGGCATTGGAGCGCCATCGTCAGTCATGAAGGCCCTTGACTGAGATCGGTGCAAAAGCGATTTGTCGGCAGGAGCGAGGAGATTTCCCGTGCTGAGTAGGTCACCAACCTTAGATTTCTTAAGCGCAACATTCTGTGAGGCAGTTTCGGCAGGTAGAGGTCTGTCTTCGGTATATTCAACATCAACAAAATCGACCTTCATTCGCCGTTCCGTTCGTACCCCTATTACCAAAGGGGAACCTTTTCTAGCCGCAATAACTTCGTGAGGATAATGAACTGATTTCATCAAAAGACCAAAGGCACCTTGTAATTCTTTGATTACAGCCTTAGCCAAATCTGTGAAACTGACGGTTGGATGTTGATCATAAATGTACTTTGCTAGCTTAGCAATACATTCAGTGTCAGTTTCCGTTTCAAATACGAAGCCCTTGGAAGTTAGTAGGGTTTTTAACTCCTTGTAGTTAATAATAATTCCGTTGTGGACTACGCTGAACTGCCATGTTGAATCACTCCGGTGAGGGTGACAATTAACTCTTGATGGAGGGCCATGAGTAGCCCATCTTGTATGGGCGATTCCGACATGCGAGTCAAAAACCCTTGAGAAGTCTGGTTTTTCCTCCTCAATAAGTTGCTTCAGCTTCTCAACTTTGCCAACTTCTTTGTAAGCAAACACTTGATTTTTTTGGTCTCCATCAATTGCGAGACCAGCGCTATCGTAACCTCGATATTCAAGGCGTGATAAGCCATTGACGAGAGTATCGAGTATACATCTGCGGTCTTTTTCAACAAGATAGCTACTGGCAGTTAATTGTAGTCCTTATTTTGAAGTGTATATCGGATATGAAATAGAAGCACTCACTTAATGTAGCCGAATATACCACACATTTTGAGCAAGAATCACTGCTGTGAAAAGTTTGGATGTTTATATTACGGTAGCAGCTGAGTATGCTATGATGGTAAAAGAGTTTGGCTAGAATGTAAGCTCAAGAATTTCGGGCTAGAGCTTTCTGCAAGAGTTACCCGGGAATAATGTATTACTTATACAGGCTTAGTTTTGTTTACTGCACAAACCAAGTTGAAACAGTATTCAAAGATTGTCATAATTCTCGGTTTACCATGAACGCCACATGTAGATGGCTCGGAATTCATGTTACCTCTCCCAACACTAGGTTGGAGCGCATGGTGCAGCTTCTCTATCGGCATCTAGTGCAGTGTGATTGAAACATCTGGGTCATTGTGCTTTGTTTATCTACACACCCAGCAGGATAGACCATGCCGCCCTATCTTCTGAGAATTTCTGCTTACTCCCCCTAGAATATTGGCTTGCTTAACCCCTTACGCCGTGGAATTATTCCACTGGCCCACAGTAGATCAATCCGCACTTGGATAAGCTAGAATGATTGATGCATGCATACCCTACCTTTAACATCTGTGCGTAATGATGACTCACTAATCGTTTGATCTCGAGGTCTGATATGTTACTCAGCCGTGAGAACCAAGCAGTGGTATTAATGACACAAACAGATTTACAGTACAAAAATGACAATACCAAATTCTGGTCTCCTTGAAAAATTGTCTTGATCCCTTTATAAATTGAATCTTGAAGTTGGATCAATAGTACTAATGATGTGTCTAATTGGGATCTATGTAATGATGCCTGAGGCACTGAGTATTTCCGACCTCGGCTGATCATGCCAATTTAGAATTCACATAAATCGAAGGGTGAGAACAGGTTTGCTTTCACAGAGACAATTCTTCACCTTTTAAAGAAGTCGAACATGAGAGCATTCGGGTGATGCAAGTGTGACCTACTGGTCTCAAGTCACACAGGTGTAATTGTTGGCAAACAAAAATTCATGACATCATATTAGAAAATAGTTATCCCTGTAGCGCAGAGGCCAGAAGCGGTACAATTATTTTAAAACAAAACTCAGCTCAAATCGAAGCTGGTCAGTTGCACCTGGGAGTTAAGATTTATTTCATACAGCGTTAAACGTAAGTTGCTTGTGGTTAAGAGCCTTAGTCATTCCCTCTAAATACCGCGGCTCCCTTGAGTCACGTCCATACTAGGAATCCATCGTCATGGCTAATTTCAGACAATTAATCAGGCTGTGGGAGATCTGCGTGGCTCTAGTCAAATATTTAAAGGCCGCGCCTGCAGCGTCGGAGAAAGAAAGGAACCCCTTTAAAGATTTGTTCATCTACGGCCTAGCAGCTAAGTACCTTGTGGATATTCATGTTGCTGAAGTCAATGTACAGAGTCTCACGATGGGGAACACTGAAGATTGACGCACGCTACATAATTACGACTGTACCTGAGCCCGTATCATCTCGCACTCCGTGCAACACGTTAAGTATTACAAAGAAGTAAATACACTAGTCAACATAGCTTGTACGCTTACTTGGCATGAGTTACACTTTCGAGTCCCAGAAAACGCAGAGAATTCGATTTTAGCTGCCTTGGACCAAACGATTTCCGTCAAGACTATTATGATGATGCTATCTGCACCTATATATATCTCATGGCGCAAAGTAGGGAATCAATGCAAGGAAGGCTAGACAGGGAGTGAATTATTCTCCGAGGGTTACAAAAGTCTGCATCATCCGAATGGCAGTAACAACAGAAAGTTGGCCCTGCATGTCCTATATAGTCATAGACTAAGACTGTACAATAGAATTACAAAGGTAAAAGTTAGCTAAAATATTGGATGTAATTCTGATCTTGGTGTCAGTAAGTTCCTTGTCCAGCTGCTTTGGAATATTCACGGGGTGATTATTTCCCGAGAATGGTATGGAGCATTAAGCCATCAGAACTTGTACTTTCAAGCGATTTCTACGTGCGTCTAACAATATCAAGAACCAGACAGAGTCACCTCGGAACAAACTATCCTCGTTGTAACCACACAGTAGCTGGCAGAGACGAGATCACCCTCCAGCGATGCCGGTGTAAACGCTCAGTAAACTCCGCATACCTGGGGTAGCGAAGAGGAATCGCATCCGAAATGACGTCGAAAGTAAAGATTACCACATTTAAAATTGACGACTTCTCATATTAATCGGTGCTACCTTTCCAACATGTGTCCTCCAACCCGATCTTACCACAAAATATTTCGCCTCATCGTCAGATCGAGAAGCTGCTCCAATCGCAGACTAGAGCTGGCCTAATAAACCATTGGCCATCTCCCGGTACAAATTTACGATGCTACGGTCACCCGAAAGGAGGAAAATAAGTTATGAGAAACAAATCCCATCGTCTGGCTTGTAGGAGACTGTTACTTTATTGTCATACACTCTGAAGAAGGACAGGCGAACGGGGCGTGGAGTGATAATAAGAAGAAATAATGCTTGGAATGACGAAATACTGAGGCTTTTCATCTTTGGAATTTTGGAGGGCGATATGTACGGTTTTGGGTAATTATTAAGGAGGAGTTATGTTGATGAATCTATGGTACACCTCAGTCCCATAGATGACACGAAGAAGTTGATCTAAGCTGTTTTACATCAAATATACTCTTCAATGATTTTTCTAACATTTTCACACGGCCTCTGGAAAGATATGAAAGATGGCGAGAAAGGTGGAGAGTGAATTTCCTAAGGTACACACAAGTCTACAACGCCTAGCTGACCGGCCTCTTCAAATACATCAAATAGGTTGCTTTGTCTTCAGATTTAGTCTTAATTTCAAAATTGAAGGAGCTACGTTTCGAGTAGTTTTTACAATTTTCTTCAGCTACAATTTACCCGCAAATGATTTTTATTTGGATAGCTGGAGATGGGAGATAGTTAAAGACAAACGGCTCTCCAAAGTTTATGATTAAACAAGGATTTATAAGAGATGATGCTGTTGGGATGTGTAGGAGAGAATTATTTTGCTCAGCTATTTAATATGGTGGATCTAGTGGCTGGCGCATGGGTAGTTATTACGGCATTACGGCGCATGAAAAAAATACAGTCTCTGCTTAAAGTTACAACAAGAAGCTCTGTGTGCAGTATGAGCGATGGGTTGTTGACCTAGTAAAAATGGCATAGCTGCTCAGTTGGAAGCACAATTTGTTGCGCTGCATACTGGCTACGTGATCGGTCTACAAGTGAACAAGCCAGGGGATAAGAGCCGAGCTTCCCCAAATCTGTAACATAACAATTATCATAGCAACTTCACTTCTGCACATCAATGAAGAAATCTCTTCGCAAACTATCTTAGAAGTCCCGGCGCAAGTGTACACTCCCAAATTATATCCCAATCATAATAAGAACACACTACTCGCACAGGTAATCTTGACCTATGGGCAAATAGGACCTACATATGCTGTATAGCCCTAGACTTATAAAGGACAGTAATATACGTATAAATTATATAGCAGGAACAACAATCTGCGGTTACAGCAGGGGACCATCAACAGCTCCGGTTCAGCCGGACTGCTAAAGTTTATGAAGGAAGTGGAAGTAGGTAAAAGAGTCTCTAAACCGGAGGAAGATCAAGACAGGGCACAACCACTCGACAAGCTTGGATGTAATAAAATAGACAAATAGAATGGAGTGGAGGGGCATTTGCGAGAGATTTTCCTGAGCAATACATAAACAAACGTGGCAGCAGTACAGAAGTGCGGAAGGTAGGAGGGCAGCCCCCACGATAGCCAAAATCCAGATATCTGGCTCACATTGTGTGGTAGAGGGCAAGACTAGCAGATGCTATGCGTCAAAGGAGTGAGAAAATGGATTAGATGAGCAATTGTTGGGGACAGCGGCTAAGTTTATTCTTCTCGTTCATGGGCGTTTAAATGTAGCATAGCTGGCAAACACGAATTCTTCACCTTCCATTTGTGCCGGTGTAAACCCTCAGTACGCTCTACATATCTGGGATAGCCAAGAAGAATCGCACCCGAATCGAAGTCGAAAGCAACCTCAAGCATATCTAAAATCGATGACCTTTCGTCAATGTCGGACTTATCATTCTCACACGAGTTCTCCATCTCAATCTTGCTATAACACCTCGCTCAACAACCGATAGAGGCGTCACTCCTATTGCGAACTGGAGCTTGCCCCATTAATTTCCAACCATCTCTCGCCACATATTTACGACGCTACGTATACCCGCGAGAAGGAAATTAAGTCATAATATACAAAGTTGGGGTCTTGGTTCATGGGGGACTGTTACTCTAATGGGGTTACGCATCTTGAGGATGGACAGGCGGCTGAGATCTGGACCGAGTGGGGGAACAGGTCTCCGAAGACCATGCTGGGACTGACATTTTCGAGGGGTTTTCAACTTTGGAACGTTTGTGGGCGCCAAGCTCAAGGTTACGATTAATTGGCCGGGAGGACTTCTATTGTCATTCAGTTTACGGCACTCTCCAGAGTCCTGAACGGCACAAAAGAGGTTGAGCTAAGCTGCCATACAGCAATCGCGCTCTGTCAAGACTTTTCTGACATTTCAGCACGACATTCGTGTGGAAGTTGGAAGGAAGCTAGAAAGGCAGAGGGTGAATTTCCCGAGGTACCCACAAGTCTGCAGCGCCCACCTGTCTGGCCGGCCTCTTCGAACGCTTCGGAAGGGTCACTATGTCTTGAGATTCAGTTTTGATGTCGATATTAGAAGAGCCCCGCACCCAGTGGTTTTTGCGATTTTTCCCGGCTGATATATACCCGCAAATGGCCATCGTTTCGTTGGCTGGAGAGGAGAGATAATGAAGGACAAAGGGCTCCTCTAAGTGTATGATCGAATGAAGACTTGTGAGGGGTGGTACTGTTTAAAGGGAGCTGTATGGGAGGCAAAGGAGGGATATACTACTGGTATAGGTATCCTTGGCCTGTAGGGAGAGAGGACCTGCATGTCCAATATATTCATAGACTCAGACAGGACGATAAAATGAAATAAAAATAATAGT